CGATCGATGCAGCCATTAAAAAGCCTTTTGAATAGCAACATTCGGCCACCACAAATAAATAATAGATATATGACAATATATATATGTTAATGAGTCTGTCTGCGTTGTGTTTGTTTGTGTGTCTGTTCTTCACGCTAATCAATCATATGAAACTACCCTGAGCATCACAATAGAAGCATGGCTATATAATTCGTCAGTATGACATCGACAACCATGCAGCTGTTCGAAAGTTTTGATTAAAAAAGAAAAAAAAGAAGAAAAAAAAGAAAAAAGAAAAAAAAAAGAAAAAAGAAATGCAGTTTCCCATCTGTTATGCTAGTTGCAAGACGAACTAGAGAAATTATTATGACGAAATTCAACTTATTAACGTTGAAAGAAAAACGAGAAAAATATATATAATGTAGACACAATTGTTAAAAGAATTAACTTATTTTTAAAAAAATCTCACTCCTGAAAGATTTTGCTTCCTGAGCGTTGTATGTTTGCACAGCTGCCGACGTTATGCTGTTCTCTGTGTGTCAGCGAGTCTTGTTACTTCCATACGTCCTAGTAGAATTTATATCCTTCGTTTCTGTATACTGTTAAGATTCCCACAGAGTGTTTTTAAAAATCGTGTTGTACCTCCATCTTGCAAAGTTCTATCTGCCATTTTCGGCCGTTTTGAGTTACAAAGACCAAGAGTTCTGAAGCCAAATGATCCATCTGCTCTATCAAAATTGTAAGATAATTCCGAGTTGTTATAAAGATATTCAAAGAAATTCATTCAAAAAAGCTTCACATTTAGTCAAACTAAAACATTTTCAATTCAACATTCTCAAAACTTGGGAGTGGGTAGATAAAACTTTGTAATTCGGAGGTAGCCATTTGTGTTCTGTGATAGTTCATCCCACTTAGCCCATCTTGGCCCTAACAAACAGGATCGTAGCAGCCAGCGTCCTAAATCGTCTTAATTGTTTCCATGAGGCCTTTCTTTCTAACGTGAAGTGCATGTAGGCAGTATCAGCAAAAAACAGACAGTCCCGCGAAGGTTTTTCGGTGATTGGAAATATAAAACACCCACAAATCATTTTGCGGCGTACTCTTCTCGGCAACTATGAACAAAACAAAAGTTTCTGTGACCTTCAAAGCACTTCGGCCCCTGTCGAAAAAATGTCTGTTGAACGAGAGGTTTTTGAAACGGAGAAAGCCTCTTCGGAAGAACTCATCTCCCCCCCCTC